AGATGTAACGTCCACTCTGGTACCTCTGTATTTCATCTGTTTCGTCACTAACAGCAAACGTGGCATGGTCAGTCCCCTTATTGACGTATTTACAAATGTACTTGTTCGATTTGACACTGCTACAGTACTCTACATTAACGTGGGTTTTGAAAGTCCGAGATAAAACAGGAGAGTAAGGCACTACCCGTCGGTTGTCCATAGGAACGTATTCACTGCCAACTTTGATGAGCACATGATGGCCACCATACTCTGGGGCACGCCTTCTGTAAGTAGGGTATCCATTATCTCCTGTCCTTGTTTCACTCACAAATGGCCTAGGATACTTTTTACTGCAATGACCAACCTTCACGCAGGGCAGTTGACGTCGCCTCACACTGAAAGCGCCACATGGGCCGTGCAACATGTGAGTCTGGAGGATGTTGGAAAGCTCAAGATCAGCTTGAGAGTCCGGCAACTCGGCACAAATGACTTGATCCACTCTGTTTGGAAGAATGGGCTTCTCCAGCCAAATGAGAATATGTGCATGAGGAAGGCCACGCTTCTGCCATTCGACCAAGTACATGAAACGTCATGGCGGTCCTCAGCAGACTGCCGTTCTCCAATTACAGTTGTGATTTCTAGCCACTTGGGGTTTGTTGTAATTGTGATGAAGAGGTCAGGTAGGCCGAACTTCCGGACATAGCAGAAAGCGTCCTGGGTGCATGAATGCATGTATCTAGGTCCCACAGTAAAGGTGGAAGGTAAAATAATCTTCTGTCCCAGTTGCTCTATGCTGTCTTCTCGTCTTAGAGCGTCTTGAAGGTGTACATAATTCTCCACCCTCAGTTCCTTTTGATGTGTCCGGAGATACAGCAGCCTTTCACTCTCCACCTTCGCATACATATCCACCAGAAATTAGTTCAAAAGCTGTTTGAACTGGTAGATATGGTTGGCGTCGCCCTCTCTGACCATAATCCGGTATGCATAAAACTCTCGGGAGCTGGTCTTTTTATTGGTTGGCTGGCCAGTGGTCGGGTTTACATGGTTTAAGTTAAAATGATATCCATCCTCGCCTCTACAAAATATGAGGGGGTACTGAAGGGCATCATATGAACGGTGAGTCTCGTAGATTCGCTTCAAATCATCTTCCCTGGAATTTAAAATGATGTCTCGCCGGTCACTGGGTTTTCCAACTATCAACACCGCAACCTCGTTAACCGTGGGTTCGTTGTATCTACCTGGGTGTTCTCCTGCAGAACGCCTATCAGCCCTGATAACAATTTGAAAGTCAGCGAGTCTGGAGGCAAGGTCTCCATGGTGGTTTTGAAGCTCTGTATGTAGGCATTATTGTCTTGAAGCATGGTCTGCAGAGTGGCTACCATGTTGGCGTCCAGGTTTTGAAATAAGTTCAACCTCCTCACAAGCTGAGCCTGACTATCACCAACAAAGTATATTTATAGGAAAGGTGCAGGTTATCCAGGGATTGGCAAAAGAGAGCCGATCAGATGGTACACTTGGCCTTGAACCTTAAACGTGGGCATATATACTCCTTCACGGATCTCATTGCCTCCAAACGAAGTCATTTGAAAGGCACTGTTGTATGCTCTGATATTCTGTAGGTAACTGCGAGACTGAGGTGAGTCTTCCGACACCCACGACCGAAGAGGGCTCTGGTGCCTCTACAATGGGGGGAAGAGCTACTTTGCCAGAAGCACAGCAAATGCCAGATGGTTCTTTTGCCCATGTGAGAGCATGACAGTGCCTACACACCTTGTCTAAGGCTCCGATGTTGGCGGCTTCGGCATAGTTTATTAGGGGATCATACTGAAACCCACTGTTGTTTTTGTTAAGCTATTGTATCATGTTTCTTTGTACATGCCATGTCCTCTCTCCTGCGATTCTGTCGCGTCTCTCTTGGTCGGTCTCGAGTTGCCTGGTCACACGGTGTCTTTGGGTGTCAGCAGCCACGCGGGAATTTCTCTCATCCTGACCTTGGCGAGCTCTATAGACCTCCACTCGCACTACCTCCCCTCCCAAGCTCAGATTGTGTTGTTGAGCAATGCGATGGTACCTTTCATTGTCAATCACATTGTGAGCTTCCCTCTCTTCTACTGTTTCATTTTCCCTTCTTTGACTGTGCCAAACTCTACCTTTATCCTGCCGAGCTTCTCTCTCCTCTACTGTTTCATTTTCCCTTTTTGACTGTGCCAAACTCTATCTTCTTCCTGCCGAGCTTCCCTCTCCTCTACTGTTTCATTTTCCCTTCTTTGACTGTGCCGAACTCTATCTTCTTCCTGCCGAGCTTCCCTCTCCTCTACTGTTTCATTTTCCCTTCTTTGACTGTGCCGAACTTTATCTTCTTCCTGCCGAGCTTCCCTCTCCTCTACTGTTTCATTTTCTGTCGCCAGACTGTGGCGAACCCTATCTGCTACCAGTCGAGCCTCCCTGTTATCCTCAGACTGTGACTTTCGGGAGATTGCGTGCCATTCTCTGTCACGGGCCAAACGTTTTTCTCTTTGGACTTCAGACTGCCGGGCTTTGAAGTGGGCCACACGCTCCTGACTGGTGGAAGGTTGTTCCTGACCAACAAACTATGTTTCTAATGAAGTGGAGCTTGTGGATGCCTCATTTCCTCCAGTATTGCTTGAGGGGCCCGGCCTCACACCCTCAACCGATTCAGAGCCTTCATAATCTTTCGCAGACCTACACACCTTCATTCTTTCAGCATCCTTAGACACTCTGCTTAAGCTACTTTTCTTTTTATGAGGACCCTGACATCAACATGATTTATTACGTACAACACTTACTCCTACTTGAGAAAGACTACAAAAAATAAACCACGTAACTGAATTTTTAAACTCCAAGGATAGTGTTCATAAAAAAGAAAAAAATATAAGAAAGAACGCAGTTAGCGAGTCAAGCGCAAAAGAGCAATGCCGAGTGGACGGCGAGCGACCCATAGCAAAGAAATACTTCTTTTAAAGAAATATAACCTTAAAAGCAAAAGAAATATAACCTTAAAAGCAATAAATAATGCCAAAACATAAACAAAATAAAGCACAGACAGCTGGAGTGATGCAACAAATTTTTGCAGGAGTTGTTTTCTTTCCAACATAGAGATAATAAACAATGTTTTGAAAATTTTACATTGTATTCACTGTTACCATGGTAATCATTAAAACAAAAAAATGTCCATAAGAATAACATTGGAACTTTGAAGACCCATGGGGCGGAGCCCTAAGGTGAATTCCAAAAATCCAAGTAGCCTATAACCTTTTCACGCATGTATAGAACAAAGAAAAAAAGTTTCATCGAAATCAGTGCACCCGTTTCCCTGTGAAAAGCGAACAAAAACACGTCCGCGAGCGTTACCGACAGACAGA